GGCGGGACCCGCGGAGCCCCCGAACCGTCGGGGCAGAGCGGTGCGAGGGGTCGAACGCGTTTGGTAACGTGCGACCCGCCACGGGCAGCGGTTCGGGGCTGGTAAGCCGTTAAAGGCAACAGAAGCCGTCCCGTAGATGCCCGTAAGTGGTACGGGGCAGAGGCGATCTCTTCTTCGGACCCCCCCGAATAGGTGGGGTCGGTGATTATCACCCCGAGCTAATAAAAGTTTCGCATCAGGCCTCAGGTCAGGTACGTGCGCTCGCTGGAGCGCTGCTCGGGTGCGTGGAACTGGTAGATTCAAGCCCCAAAAGGGAGGGGGTTGACCTACGCTATGGCTGCGGGTGAATGTGGAGGGTGCCGCGCGAGGGACCCCGGACGGCAGGATGGGCACGGGTGTCCTGCGGTCCGGGTTTCGGTGGTCCAGCTCTCACCCCTTTAAGTAGTGCTTTGCAGAGCAGCGGCCGCGCTGCTGGACGCTGGGCCGTGGTGGGGAGATGCAAATCCCCTTTCCTGCCCCTGACGATTCCCCTCCGGTCTGGCTCCCCAGAAACCAGATCCTCCGGGAAGCATTACGTGTGTGCTCTTCCATTTGGGCAAAAGGAGTTAAAAATGCGGCCGCAATTAAAAATCCTATTAATTTCCAGCCCCTGGTAAGGGCTGCTGGGCTGAGCGCAGTGGGTGGAGTTTTGTCAGTAGTAAATCTGTCTCCCCTGTGCACGGCCTTGATTTGTAGGTCTGACAGGCGCTTCCCCGGCAGGTGAAGCAGCTTTACGACGTGGTTTGTTTGCAGCTGAAATTGTCAGGTTTCAGAAGGTCAGATATCAGAAATACCTCCCGAGGGGCTGGTTTCTTGCACCGCAGGGCCTTGATATGCTTCTCCAGCTGCGTGAAGTGGCTGGGAAGTGGGTGTCCCAAGGACCGAGGAACAATGCGGACGGCTGGGGGGAGTAGAGCCGGCTGGAAGCAGCATTTCAGAGCGCGAATGCTCTGGTTGGGAAACGGGGCTCCTTTCAGTACTGAAAATATTTGCAAAAGAAGTCCTGTTCCGGAGTCGTGCTCGTGGTGGGATGCGGTTCTGCAGCAGGTGACCGCAGGGACATTTCAGAGTTGTGCGGCGTCGGGCTCAGCCTAGAGCCTTTCTCCGAGACGCGGTTACGTGACAGGCCTTTTCTCTCTTCAGTGGAGCGTTTCGGGGCCTGTCCAGTGAGGCACAGGGACATTGCCTCTCTGAACACAAACGGATGGCCCGGTTTTCACGAGGGCTGAGGGCTTGCAGGTCGCGCTGGAGCCGGTGGGGAATGGCAGAGGTAACGGGTGGGTGAAATGGCACAGGGTGATCAGTCAGACTGCTTGAGTGTCACATGCTGGGGCAATTGTTGTTGCTCAGCTTCTTCTCTAGGTATTTTAAGAGGCAATCTTGGAGAGTGAATAATTTCAAATCACTTCATGCTGTAGCAGTGTAAGTAGCACAGGCAGAGAGGAAAATGGTCCTGTTCCCCTCACTGCTAATGCAGGGAGCAATGAAGAATGTGGAGCAGCATAAAAAATATCCGGACCAGAAAAATACTGTGAAGGATAGATACCTGTCACCAGCAGTGCAGTAACAGCACCCTCTTTTTGACCAACAGCTCTGGCAGAGCTCATGTGTGTCAGCAATCCAAGTGTACGAGGTATGTTGCACAAATTATTCCGCTGCTTTCCCTGTCCAGACTTTTGCAAATGGTCCCTCAAGTTCCAGGTGTTGAGCAGAGACTCAACAGCTTGACTCAGGGCTTGGGTCTCCGTAGCGCTGTCAAGCGTCGTCAGACTTCAACCAACCTTGCACCGGCTCGTTGGGTGGCATGTCACAGTGCTGGGTCAATAGTAGGGAACGCCACTGCTGACATTGGAACAAATCGATGTCTCAGTGAAACTCCTTCATCAGACAGATTCAAACAAAAAATATGGTCATGAACAGCTGATGGGGAAGTAGTCGCTTCTAGGAAGGATGCAGCATTGGTGTTTTGGTTTTCTTTGAAAATGCTTTTCATTTGAAACGTCGAGAACTGCAAGAAAAACTACTGCTTTGTCCTTAACGGGAGGTTGGGAGTATTTCTGACTCTATCCCAAACTACCCTTTTGGCAACCTTTGTAAGGACTTTGACAGTGTAAGACCACAGCTGTCTTGGTGGTGGTGTCTTACGTGAGTTTTTGCAGCAAGGCTGCACAGCAACCCTGGAAAACTACAGGCTGGAGCAGAAGTGACAAATAGCTGTTGGCACCGTGAACTCAACACCACAGGCCAAACTCTGCCCAGCGAAGGGGAAAGTTTTCTGCAGTCCCTCAAAGCAGCAAGAAGCCATGTCACAGATTTAAGCCAATCCGAGTGCAGGAAGCCTTCAGATCTGCTGGGAGTGAGTAATCTGCTTGGGGGGGACCAGTATGGGAGCTTCTGCCGGCCACGGGAATTTGTTGAGCCCAGGATTGCTCCTGGGAATATATATATGAAAACTATGGAGCTGTAGAACTGTGGTAGTGGACACCAGTGTACGTGCCACCCTGCTCCCAAGGGATGGAGCCGTGGTGCTTGGGGTCACCGAACCACGTCTGGCTGCTGACTGCCACGGGCAGAGCCTGTCTGGGCAGCGCTCCCCTGCGTGCCACGGGTTGCGGTGTCCCTGGACGTCGCTGCCTCCCTGGGACACCTCCGAAACCCAGGGGGTCAAAGCAATGTGGTGCTGCTCTCGTGCATGCCAAAAGCAGGTCAGTGAGGCCTTTGTATAGGGTCGGAGGAAAGATTTCTTTCTTCATATTAAAGGCAAAATGATCTAATAAGTCATTTAACATGAACGATAGAAGGGTTTAAGCACAGGGGGTTTTGAATGCATGCAGGACAGCTGTCAAGTTTAGACAGGAGATTAGCAGTTCATTTGAGATATACATTAGGAAAAAGAGCTTACTCCGGGGGCCTGTTAGCTCCCTTGAGGCTGGGGAGGATTTAGTGTCTGTAAGTGTTGATCTATTGTGCACGTTATGAAGCTTGCCATCCCAGCAGCTTTGATATGTTCCAGCTTTTCTTTAAAACCCCTGTGGATGTTAAAGTGACTTTCATTTAACGTGGGAGATGTTGACAAGCTCCCCCAGGAGGCTGGTGAGTTCTCGAAAGGGTCTTTTAAAATATTAGCTTCACTGCCACTTTTAGATGATTTTTTTCCCCCTCTGGAATATCAAAGAGTGGTTTGTTTCTGACAGCACTAAAAATAAATGAGGTGTCTGCTGACACAGGGAAGATATGGCCTGTGCTGGTTGGACTCCCAGCCTAGTGTTCGGGGATCCTTTCTAAAGCTTTTGGCTTAGCGGATGACGCTTGTGTTTGGAAAGCTGAAGTTTATAGCACAGAGTGATCCTTCTCTTTAGAAGATTGGAAGCAGCTGGTGGGACTAACATGAGCGAGTTGGGTTTCAGCGGCGGATGCAAACACAAGTCATGAAAGCAGAGCTTCAGCTTGGCGTCTGCTCAGCGGCTCCGGTGCCGATGTTCGATCTGCCCGTGGGCTGATGGCTTTCCCCAGCGTTTCCCTTTTCAAAAGGGAGAGGTGCATGAGGGCTTGCGGGGGTGGCCGTGCTGGTGGGGGGCTCTGGGGAGGAAGCCCTTGCTCCGTGTCACTGGTGTGGGGAAGGTGGGGGGCCCTTGGCACTTCGGTTGCCGGGCTTCGGGGCAAGGAGGGCTTGAGCTGGCACGAGGGTGTCGGTGATAAATGCAATGAAATGACTCCAGCCCTTTTTACTGGCAAAAATAGACTGGTATGGAGGGTTAGGGAAGTAAAAGCCAGCTGTGAAATACGACTTTGGTTTTGGGAATCTTTCTTTGAAGATGTGCTTTTGCTTTTGTTGTGTGGAAGCAGCTGATCCTTCAAGGAGGCGGAATTCTGCTTGATTGCAAAGGAGGCAGTGGTGGTCTCACCTTCCTCGGATCTGTGCTGAGCCCAGTGGGCTATTTCTGCATAACCAAACACCTTAGGTGTTTCTGTACCAGGGTATCAGACTTCTCCGTGGTGTAGACCGCAACTTTCACGCACCGCGCTGGAGGCAAAAGTGACTGTCCGGATCCGTCATCTTCAGCCGCTTTGGAGTTACATGACAGTCCTCAGGCAACTGCAGCAAATGTTTACCCGGGCAAACAGAGCTGGTGGGGGACGTCATGTATTTTTAGCTGTCTTTTAATTTGATTCAGCCATCGAAAATGCAGAGCAGCACACAGCGGTAGCCAGCTCTCTAAGAACCGCCGCTCCACCTCTTTGCATGCAGACGACTGGAAAGAGCTGAGAGGAAAAAATGAAGGTGCTTCCAAGAGTACATCATTGCCAGCACGATGTTAGTCTCCATTTCATGGGTGTAAAACCAGAGGAGGCGGTTGTAGGTCCCCAGTGAAGCAGAACTAGGCTGTTGGCTCCCAGGTCTTGACACCTAGCAAAACCTCCCAGCTCTCTGTGACTGCAGTGGTATCTGTTCCAGGTTCAAGTGAGGAACTGGGCTGCAAGAACTGGGGCTGTGATCCCAGACCAGCTCCTAAAGAACCACGCAGAAACGAATAATCCTATTTAACTACAGACTTTGACAAATGC